GTTCAAATATGGATTATTTTTACTGTTTTATTTTGGATTGATTAAAAACACAATGGACTTGTGGCGCTTGGTTTCTAGACACATTCACACTATTAAGTGCCAATTTCAATATGTTGGTTTGTTTGTACACTCGATCATGCAAAACATTTTCAACGACACACACACACACACACACACACACACACACACACACACACACACACTTGAGGCTAAAAACAGCAACAGAGTTCTCGCATGAAAACACACGTTGAGCATTCATCTCCTAGCGTGTGCTGTCTGAGGGACATTCAACTAATCCTATCATGAGGCTAATACAAATAATGTCAATGTGCTTTAAAGCGCAGTGAAAGTCACATGTTTGCACAACATATCAGTGCTCAGTGTGGAGCAGGTTTGAAACACCTGTTGTCACTCAGGAGAGGCCGTTTGTTCTTCAGGGGTGGCTGCCCGTTACTGGGCTTGTTCGACATATCACAAGAGGCTGTAAGCGATTCAGGAACACTTACACTTCATAGATCATGAGCCCAGGTTAAATAATCCTTCTCTTTGGTTGCCCACTGATGTTTTGAGTTAAAGTGGAGTCCCCCTGTGTGGCTAGGTTAGTCCGGTTTAGTGGAAGAGTGTGAAATTAACATGTCGTAAAATACAGATTACAGACGTCATTATGGACTTTGTAGAGGAAAACGGGGAAAAAGAAGAAGGACGTTTTACATATAGTTTAGCAGGGTTTGTTGATTGATATACATGTGATTAAGATCTAACAATTCACATACACACACACACACACACAGAAACAGAAGATATAGCTTTTTCTTTGTCTATGTTATATTAAATCAAAGTGTTGGACTGTGGTTTGGACAAAACAATATAAAATGGCATCTGATTGGGCTTAATGAAGAGATTATGGGCTTTTTATAGGACATACACCTCATCAATTAAGTAAGGAGATAATGGGCAGACTAATTGGAATATCAATTTGATGCAGCTCTCATTAAATCATTAGTGATTTAGTGACTCATTAACTTAACCACGATGACCTGGCTTCCCTTTAGCTTATGTAAACATATTTTTAAGTGAGAATGTTTTCCAAATACTGCACTTAACCTCGATTTATTTTTGATAGACTTGCTAGCAGACTGTGGGTTTTGATCCTATATGCAATGGCTTAAATAACAAATAAATGCACCCATGATACAGTGCAGTGAGTGGTTAGGAATAGAAAACCGTCACAAAATGTTTAATATGGACATCTGGAATGTTCCATCATCTGCTTGCAGGCCAAGCAGCTTGTTTGGAAACGAAACAGTGCAACATGTGTTTGTTTATTATATTATTATTTCTGTTTTGAATCTGTTTGCATTTATCTCCGAGTATTCTCCGCACATTTTTCTGATGGAAATCATTCAGCTGTCGTCTGCGTATCAAAGCCTGACGCCTGATGTCACTTATGAACAAATGGAAATCTCTCTCGAATCCCACAGCTGAACCACAGTCCAGCGGGCCAGAGTGAAGGGAAATGTGGGCAGAATGAGCTGCGAGATTTTGAAGACCAGACCATTGAGGCTTTGGCTTCACTACAGGAGGAAACAAGGACACGTTTGTCCCAGGAAGAATTAAATACATAGTCAGACAACCAAATAGGATGTTAATGCATTCCTATTTTGCTTAAAAACCAGAATATTGCGAGCTTGAACTCTCTGAACAAACCTCATAAAACAGCTCTACTGAAAAGTTCTACAAAATGCTGCCTGACTGTAAAGAGCTGACAGATGAGCTAAGAAAATGGTTAAAGCATATGGCTAATAGTACTTTTAAATGGGTGCAAGTCACGCCTTGATTTTCTGGGGTAAGGTCGGGTCTGTGCTCCTCCCGAAGTGTGGTAAGGGGATATATCGTGGCCTCTGACTGGCAGAGTTAAATCCTGGCAACGAGGATCGGACATCTGACTCCCAGATGTGTCCGACGGCCTCTTATGTGCAGCCAAAAGCAGACTCACCTACAACGGCACACTGAGTTATATTCCCTCTTGTTCTCTTTGTCTGTGTCTAACCAACTATAACTCATTTCTGTTTTCCTTTGACTTACGCTCCCGCCCTCACACATGCAAGATTAGTATGTAGTATATCTACTGCAGACACACGTGGAAGACATTATACTGTACACGCTTCTCTTTTTCAAATGAGGGTTGCACAGTAAATAAAAATGTTATCGGAATATATACTAGGTAAAGCTGGTATAAGCTAAAAAAAAAAGTAAAATCTGGCCTAAAAACTGTATTTTTCAGACTTAAGGGGGACATAGTATGCTCCTTTACAGGTTCAGACTTCTATTTGGTCTCTACTGTGACATGTCTCCATGCTTTAATGTTCAGTCTGTAACCTGAGGCCAACATCGTCCAGCTGATCTGTTGTGGAGATGTTTGTCAACTGAGTGCATGTGTGCGTCGCATCTGTGTTTGCAATTTATTTTTTAATACAATTCAGTCATTGGCTCCTTTCATCAGTTGATTTACTGAGCCTGCACAAACAGGATTTATGTTTGTGTAAGTGGGACAGACAAAGAAGAGCAAATCAGAGATGATCTGTTTGTTTATGTGTGAGTATAAGTGTGTGTGTGTGTGCGTGCGTGCGTGCGTGCGTGAGGGCGTGCGTGCGTGCGTGAGGGCGTGCGTGCGTGAGGGCGTGCGTGCGGGCGTGCGTGGCGTGCGTGTGGTTGCCTATCGCGTGATAACTGTACTGATTTGATATCCAAGGGCATGCATTGCGTGTCTTCTGCGGCGCTGTGTAAGCATTTGTAAACAGAAAACTGTCAGTATATATATATAGTCAAATGTGTAAATGATGACTCAAAGGAGGAGATGTTTCCCATTAAAAAAATACGTATCATGAGCTGACACTTACACAACAAAGACGTCAATTATAGTTTATATTCTAAGATTGACAGATGTTTGAAATCACATCATTTGTTTTGGATGAGCGTTAATAACTCCAAGTTGCCAATTGCTGATTTGAAAGCCTGATCCGGTTGAAGGCTGTTTATTTGATGTTGCTGCTTAGTCTCGGCTTTCGTGACAGCGTTGTGATGTTGTTGCTTCAGTTTCTGATTGTTAAACATCGACACACTTCTCTTTTTGCATCTTGACCGCATGTGTTTGACAGATCTTTTAGGATTTCTGCTTGCCAAGTCCACCTTTTGTGTGCAGAAATCAACCTCAAATATGGCATGAAATGGTGGACAGATGTTTTTAAGGGAAGCAGTGTGTGAGGGTGTGTCTTTGTTTGCATCGTCACTGAGGTTTTGACCTTTTGACCTTCTGCTGTTGACTTCCTCTAAATGTGTTGATGTAGGATCCCGACTAAAGCCGATATATTGGTTTGGGGATGTTGAACCAACAACTCTAATAAAACATCAACCACTTCATATTCCCTGATATGAAGGGGATGTGATTTTTACTCCGGAGCCTCTGGAGTGACTTTCTATAAGACCTGCCTTGACCTTTCTCAACACACGCGTGAACCATCTGAAGTTTATTTAGTCCGAGTTTCAGTTACGTACAGTGATTATCTAAATCATGGAGTCAGAATGTAACACACATTAATGTTACGGAAAGTATTGTCAAGTTTAGCGCTGTACTTATTTATATTTTCTACATAAACAATTGATTAAATCACTATGTCATCTACAGAGTGTTCTAGCGTCTTTCAGCTGACATTTTGTGGGTTTTATAGATACAACTTTTACCCTGTTTCCAGCCACAGCAGCCAGCCATTTTCAGCAAATACGCTCTGATTAATCCACAGTAAGGACAGCACCACCAAATGTCATACAGATAGGAACTAGCTGGTCAACAAAATAAGCATATAGCACCTAAAGAGCCAGATATTTCCCTCAGGAGTTTGTAGAGACCATGACTGAGCTCAAAGGAGATTTGTATCAGTAGGATTGCCAGAAACACAAATAAAAAAGAGACTTATGCTGAAAAAGTTACTGTACATATAACCGTTTGCTCTCAACTGAGTCATCCACGGCAACTTTATATGATGATATATACAGTATATAATATCTAATTATATATTGAAAAACAGATCTAAAGTAAGTATGCAAGGACCAAAATGTTTATTTGTTGGTAAGAATGTAACTTTAAGAGCTATTGGCAGTAATTAGTGAAGCCCTGTTGATTTAATAATAATTGATTTAAGTAATTTATAAAATGTTTCAGGCAGTTCTATAAATGTGTGTGTTGTTGTGTGTAAGTGCATTTCTGTTTGTGCCTTCTCTTAGCACTGAGAACCGAATGCACCCAGCTACCTCATCTGTCACCAAACGTCTCTGTGATTCATTCATCTGCTCACAAACCACTGAACATCTCCAACGACACAACTAGACCCGTCACCCGGTCACACCTCAATCTCTGCCCCCATGAGAGCTGTCATGAAACCAGCATCTGCCCCCATTACTCTGCATTATCAGGAGGAGATAGGGGTCAAAGTGTGCTGCATTTTTGGGGGGCCTCATCTACAGATGAAACAGGAAGGTTATTTATTCCTATCACGGCTATTACTGTCGGTATGTTGTTTGTGTGTGTGTGTTTCTGCATGAATATGACGTGTGTGTGTGTGTGTCATGTGCATCACTGGCTTTAACATTGACATGACCAGAGACTGCTTCATACTGTTTAACGTTGTTGTAATAACCAAAAGTGGAACAATCTTTTCCTTTCTCTATTTAAATACTCTTCCATCTAAAAAAATCATTTTTTTGATAGTCTTCAATATTAAAAGACAGTTTAAATGTGCAGAAAAGTGCTTTAAAGGAAACATAACTGTTAAGCCCTCAGCCTTCAGGAGCACACACAAAATGTAAATACCCTTCCGCTGCATTATGGTGTCTGCAGACGTCTTTATATTTCAAAGCCACACCAAATAAAACCAAAATACCCCCTGGTGTATGTTCTTTTTAGAGATCTGCGTGCACCTTGTGGTCAGACTGCTGCTACTTGCCTCATCGGGGATGAACAGAGCGAGCTGCTCTGTCTGGAGCTGCTGCGAGGAGACGCCATTCTGTCCGAGGCCATCTTACTTCAGCTCAGCACCTGAAACACAAACCTCAAGGTCACATGACATGAACATGCTCTTTTGTCAACAATTTTTGCAACACAAATTACTTTTAACAATAAGCAACAAATGTGTGTTCCATTGTTTGATATACACATTCAACCCACAGAGAGAATATAAGATGGACACAAACACTGCATCCTCCTGGTGTTGTTGCACTGCAGCGTTATCCACGACAACATCTCCTTATTGATCCGCCTCCAAGCATTCTATTCTTGTCTTGTCTTTTTTTCCTCCAAGTAATTTAATTATCAATAAACCTCACTGTTTTAAATAGCTGCAAGCTGCTGGTGTGCCAGTGGAATAATATTTCTTATCTTCTAATTTATTGGCTGGCTGCCAGCCAGTGACTCTCTTCCCTACTTTGAGCCTGAGCAAAAGAGGCTGACGCTCTTAAGTGCCCGCAACTTTATTCCGCCGTTTTATTGATGTATCCCATTTAGATTAGTCCATTTTCAATCGGGAGAAGCCGCAGACGCCCTCCCGCCTGAAACACACTCTAATCCTTTTAGTTAATGATATCCTGCAGTGGTGTGGTTACAAATTTCATGTTTACTGTGGAGTATAATTAGCAGGTAGTTACAAAGTGAGACGATCTCCCTCTCACGCACACGAGCACACACATGGTTTCAGCTGTAGTGCTCTGGCTTTTTATTAAATGTGTTATGGGATCGATAAACAGGAATACTCCCAATAAAGACATTGAGAGGGGTGTGTGATGCTCGTGGGACGTCACTGCTTTGATGTTTGCCTGCTTTGAAAGTGCCGCAGTGTTTTCAGCTTAAATGCCACGAAGAACTGATCCATTCTGTAGAGTTTGGAGAAGGAGAGGTTCAGGAGTCACGGTTTCGTATTTTACTGTTTGCTTCGATTGCTCCGAAACTCCCCGGGTTACGTAAGAACAAGGGACCTATCTGATCATGGATTACAGAGAATACATAATGTTTAGGGGGTGAGTAACTGAATCAATGACTGTGATTACCAGCTGGATGAATAGGTCACAAGATAGTGAAGATAGAAACAGATGCAAAAGACGGAGCAAGAAACAGAAAGATGCAGAGAGGAGAGAGGGGGGAGAGGAGGGGTCTTTTAACTGCAGTCTTGGCATGGCTCCTCCAGGGCCATTTTCGGAGAAAGCATCTCAGCGAATCAAAAATTATACCAATAGTGTGCCAGGAGCACGAAAGTCTGGCACTGAGCACCCATTTTTTGGGGGGAAAACACCCATCTATTTGAATGCAGTTTGAATATTACACCACAGAATGGGCGCTGATATAATTGCACCGTTAGTTTATTACAATAGAGGTGTAGATTAATTATATTGGCCCTATAATTGAGCACGGGGTCATCGCCAACGAGACACAGATCCAGCAAATTCCATTACATGTCCCTCCGGCTCTTTATAGCGCTCTTCTGTGGATTACCATACAAATGGAGATGAGTTGTCCAATCAAGCAATTCAGTCCTGAGCACTTAGAGTGTGTCACTAAGTGCCGTGTTAAGGACCATTGCGCTGAAAGTGATCCCCGTCGCTCCGCAGTGAGTGGCCACCGACTGCTAAACGGAGCATGGGGGAGGAGAGCCAAAGGTTTTTAGCAAAATGTCAGGAGTTTACAGCAGGTTGTCGGTGTTCCCAAGATGTTTACAGCTGGACAAGGCTCTTTTTTATGCTGTAATCATTTAAAGGTCACCTATTATGCAAAATCCACTTTTTCATGTCTCTTCTACATCAACATGTGTCCCCTCTGTGTAAAGAGACTCTGAAAGTTTCAGGAACAAAGATTCTCTCTCTTTTTGTCCTGAACCATTTATATAAAAACCTGTCTGAAAATGAGCTGATCAGATTTTGGCCACTTTATGATGTCATAACGATGTTTTGGCTTGTGTAACCATTAGCCAATCACCAACCAAGGTAACCCCCCCCCCACCTTATCACCTGAATCTCCTCCTAGAGCACCATTGTGTTCTTTGTAACCAAGTCTCTCTCAGAGGGGCGTGGGGAGGGGCTCCTTATTTTCATCTAAAGTAACAAACAGAGAATCAGCACTTTTGAAACAGGGCTGAAACAGAAGGGATTATGGGTAATGCTGCAATGATCTGTTTGGTGTTTGGAGCCAAACTCTTCAGAGACATGTTCTTGTATATAGGGAGGCTGTGGCTCAGTGGGTAGTGTGCTGGACTTCGAATCAGGGGATAGCAAGTTTGAGTCCCACTGCAGTCAGCATGTCGTTGTGTCCCTGGGCAAGACACTTCACCCCAAGTTGCTCCTGGGGATTGCCCACAGTACTGAATGTATGTAAGTCACTTTGGATAAAAGCGTCTAACAAATGACATGTAATGTAATCTATCTGAGACCTATAATATATTGATGAAAAACAGTATAATAGGGGACCTTTAAGAGCTAACATTGTACCCTCTATTCATGTTAAAGCAATACTGTGTGTCCTGCAGTTTAAACATCCCCAAGCACAGGAAGGCTGCAAGTGTTACAGAAATATGAGTTTCCTAAGCAGATGGTCTGCTTTGACGGGATCCTGGCTAATTTTCGTGCTGGGCTGGACATTTCTTTTTATGTCTGGGCTGAAACCCGAGCGGCCCTCTGGGTTTCCCCGCTCTGTTGCCGTGGAGAACGTGTCGGTTGTAGGTAGGCCAAACAAAGGACACCTCTGTCTCGGCCTCATGTCACATGCCGGGTAAAATAACAAGCACTCAGTAGGCTAACATACGTGTGTGTGTGTGTGTAAGGGAAATCGCTACGATGTGCCCTGCAGATTTACTGCCGCACTTGTATTCATTCTTTGCATGTGTGTGTGGAGAGGGATTTAAATGTTAAATGTGCTTGTGTGCATGTTTCTGTCACTTGCAGTTTTCCAGCCATGTTTCATGTAATGTCTGTAATGTCTGTTAGTCACGCCAACTCCTGCATTCAATATAAGAGTCATTTAGTGGTCTTTATATAGTCTGGCTGTATGGAAGTCAAGACAAAACAAAGGAAGAGCAGCTACATATAGCGAAGGGCCTGAATAGTGAAGCAGTGTTTAAATGATTATACCATAAAGAACTGAAGACCAACCAGGAACATTCAGCTTCTGTTATGAACAACTCAAAATCCAGCACTACAACATCACCTTTCTAAACAGTAGGCTATGTATGGTTAACCCTATTTGTCTAAATAGGGGACGAGACTGTTAAAAACAATATCAAATTATTATTTAAATGTTATGTTAGCTGTGTGAGATGGACACCGTTTTTCATCATGCCAAGACTATGGTTTAAAAACCCAACTGAGAGTCAATTGTTACTCCATTGTACAGTATAAAAAGCACACACTCTTGCTTCTTCCAAAAGAGGAGCAGATAGGATGAGAGAGAAAAAAAGACAATCACGTATAATCTGAACATTGCCTTGGTGAAAAAAATCTAATGGTCTTTTAGGTCGCATTCACACCAGCCTTGTATAGTCCGGTTGAATCGAACCCTTGTGCGTTTACCCGCTTGGTCCGGTTCGTTTGGGTTTATGTGAACGCAGTCCGAGACCTCTGAAGTGAACTAAACAACCGGACTCTGGTCCGCCTAAAAGGTGGTCTCTCTCGGACCGCTTGCAAGTGAACTCTGGAGCGGTTCATCGCTGGTGTGAACCATAGGTGTGAACGCAGTCCGCACCAAAACATAGGAAGCGTAGTATTTACGTGTCACAAGAACGCGGATGTCTTCAAAATTGTTAGCGAAAGAGTGAAGCAGAATTAAGTGTTGAACAGTGTCGTGTAAAGTAAAAACAACTATCAAACTAAAAACTATACATAAAAGTCAGAGCCACCTGCCGTCGGTGAAACCTCCTCCTGACTGCAGAACGTCTCTCATTATATGTGTTTTAATGTTTTTTAACGGACGTTGTCTGATTATATAATCATATGCTGGAGTCTGTTGTTGATCTCCAGATTAACAGCAGCATGAAAATAACCTGCCGATGCTCCATGGCGGAGGCTCCGGTAGATATGGTTTGCGTTTGTACCTCCTTAATGTCTGACCAATTGTTGAACAGCATTTCCGTGCACATGACTTGTGTTTAAAGCTTATAGTCCGTTTGAGTTTTGCCCGTGTGAACGCAAACCAAACCTTCTGAAAAATGAAACAATGTAACAAACTGTCGTCTGGTGCGCACCTGAGAAGTGACTATTAGGTGTGAATGTGACCTTAGTTTATGTAATGCTAAAAAAAAACATATTAAGATTTGAATTTGTTGAAATCACATATAGCACTGAAATGACTTCAGGACTTCAGCTCTCATTCTCCTAAATCAGATGTTAATTGTTAAAGAGCTGTCAACCAATATTGTTCTTTTCTAATGTTAGACAATTTAGACAGTTTAAAAAAGTTGGTTGGTTTTGAAATTGTCGCTGCACCACTCACTGTATTCTCCGTTTTAATCCCTGAATGCTTTTTCTTTCGCAGGCCTCATTCTTAACTAACATATAAAAAGAAGCATGTGCTGGATAATGTAGCACCAAGTTTTCATTGTCCACTGACCTCATTGTTTGTGCTCTCCATAACTGCACTGGTTAAAAATACATTTTCCAGTCCTTTTTTATAATAGTCTGTGGTGAGGCCGAATGACTTTCACAGATTCTGGGTAAAACCACAAAATGAATACAAAATCGTGTCTGCAGAAAACAAAATACCATACCCCTGTGGCTTAGCTTCAGTGTTGTGCCAGAAGCAATGAATTTCTGTTTGACAAAAACATAAGAAATCGAACTCTGAGGAAATTAGAAGAAACAAGCGAAGCCACTCACCACTTTGAGAGGCCAAAATCAGCTTGAATCAATGTGATGGAGTTCAGGACGGAGTCAGACAGGCTGTGTACTCCGAGTTTAATATCCTTGTTGTTTCAGGAGTGCCTCATTGTGTAACCGATTCCTTATGGTTTGGCTTTATTTCAAAACTGCCAGCGATTAAGTACAAAAATGCTTTTTCTCCTA